ACTCTGTCTCTGGTGAATCCTCTCACCCTCCGCATCTCTGGCCTGTACCCCAGTTCTGTATGAATAAATAAATAAATCTTTAAAAAAAAAAGTTAGAGAATCTGGCTACATTGAGCAACATTAATTCCATATTTGGCATGTGCTCTTTGGTTATCAGTTCTCATATGGATTGCTTCTTTTCTTTTTATAACTTGTCTCACTCCAACTAGCATATTTATCATTGTTCTTGACATAGAGAAAGAACTTTCAGTTGGAGAGACAAAGAACAGAAATTATTAAATTCATATACTTCCTCTACCATTTCACAGCATGAATTATTTAGAATTATAGTGCTAATGTGATTAGTGAGTTCAGATGTAATTCTATAAGACTCTGCATAACCCAGCTGGTTTTATTATACCACATCTGCAAACTTTGGTCATCAAATAGATCCATTTGGTATAAACAAATGGTTGAAAATAATCATCACTAGTCAGAATGTAATCTTAAATATGTGATTCACCAATCAAAATTAAGTGCTATCTGTCATCTTTCCTATTTGAATAACAGTTCATATTGAGGGATCAGTGGTAATCATTCAAATCTATATTTTATTAGCTAGACAGAAGATTTCTTAGCTTAGTTGAAAATTAGATTATATTTCCTTTACATATGTTTTGGCCATAGCTATCAACCATATTTGAATTTCTGTTATATTTCTGATAGCTTATAGTTTTAAATTGGCTTAGCTATAATAAAAAATAGTTATAATTTAATTATTTAACAAATTATCTTCCATTTGTCATAGTAATTTTTTTGTGGCACAATAAACTACCACAAAAGTTAAGCAAAAATATTTAATATCTGTTATGAATTACAGTGTTGGTCAGGTGGTTGTACTAGCTTAAACGTAGATGGATGATTTAGAATGTCATTTTAATGTCTGCAGGTTGGGGCTGGGTTAACCTTCAGTAGGAACAATGTGGTTACTACTCTTCCACTAAGCCAGTCTAGGCTTCTTGACATACCTAAGTGATCTAACATATCTACCTTCTGAGGGCAATCTCTAAAAAACAAAAATGCATTTGAGCCTCTGTTTCTGCAGTTATTAATGTTTCATGGAAAGTCATATGACCAAACCAAGATTCTCTGCACTTGAAAAAGCTTTCATTCCCATATGAACCTATGACATGACAGGTCATAGTTGACTCCAAAATTGATTTCTCACTGACTGATAGAGTAATAAAAATGACTAAGATAAAATGTTATTCCAAGAGAAAAAGTTGATTCTTTGAGAAATTTGCCTGCATCATCATGTAGGGAACTGTTTATGCTTGAGTTTTAAAGCAAGTATAATAACTATATTTATTTTTAAAAAATATTTATTTATTTGTGCATGCAAGAACTGGGGTACAGGTCAGAGGTGTGGTGGGTAAGAGGATGCACCAGAGACAGAGTGGGAGCAGAACAGGCCAATGTACTGAAATACACTGCTGAGGGGAGCAGTGAGTAAGACAGGAGAGGTCTGCTGTGCCATGTTGGTCACCTCCCTGGCTGGGGGTTGAACTCTTGCTGTAGTGGCTGCTGAAAGCTTCATAGTGCTGGGCTTAAATTCCTTGTGCCACCACGGAGGTCCCTATATTTCTTGATAGAGCATGCAAAATAAGATTTTATTCAGAATGACGTGGTTCTAGCATCATTTTTTCACCTGAGACAAAATATAGTTAAAAATCAGAGTACATGGGCAATTTATTGTGTATTCTCAATATGAGAGGGGAGAAGGAGAGTAACAGTGATCTTACTAAACCAAAAACCTTAATGAACCATATTTTCTTTTTGCCTTCTCTCACCTAGTACAAAAAAAGTTTCACACATTAAGAAGATTTTCAGCACGTTATCTGTTGCAGTTGTTTTTGGAATTACCTGGATTCTGGCATATTTAATGTTGATTGAGAATGATGTTGGGCTCGTCTTCAGCTACCTGTTCTGCATTTTCAATAGTACTCAGGTATGGTATGCATTCATCTGAAAGTAGCACACTGAGCAGCGATGAAGAAAATACCCTGTGCCAAAGTTTTCTGTTAAAATTTCCTGAAAATAACTGCTAGATTACCTGTAAGATCCTCTTTGTAATATAGTTTGAGGGAAGATAAAGAAAAGCTTTATGAATTGCCTGCTATGTATTTTTAGATTCTAGGAATGGAGAGCCTAGAATGTAATTGCAGTAGAGTTAGGCCACACTGTTTCCTCTTCATTGAGCAGATGTGACTTTGTTAAAGCCACTGCTTGGGAAATACCTTTCCCTTTCTCCCGTGGGGCAGGTCCATGGCAGCGCCTTACCATGCTTGGTATATTACCGTGATTGTTGTTGCTAAAAGTGTGGGCCACTATAGATTGGCTAATTTCTTTCTCTTTTTAAATTTTATGTTATTTATCCCATCTTTTTTAAACAAGATTTGTTTATTTATGCATACCAGAATGGTGTACAGGCCAGAGGTGTGAGGGAGCAGTGGGAAGACTCATCAGAGACAGAATGGGAAACAGAAGAGGTGGAATAACCAGAATTCACTACTGAAGGGAATAGTGAGTGAGACAAGAGAGGTCTGCTGGGCCATGTGGGTCAGCTCTCTAGCCTGGGATCAAACTTGTGCTGCAGTAAATGCGGATAGCTTCATAGTGCTGCCAAAATCCTTGTACAACATGGGAGACCCCTATCCCATCTTTTATAAGTCCTTATTGAGTAATAATTGGGAATAGTTGGCAAATATTGTATATATTTAAAATGTATGATGATTTTCTATCATATGATGTGAATTATCACCCCACATAGTTAACATTTTTTGTGTGCACACACATTTTGTGTGTAATTACTCAATTTCAAGTATACAATACCATATTCTTAATAACTATGTACATTAATTCCTTAAAACTTGTTACAATGGAAAATTGTATTTTTTAAAAAGATTTATTTATTTATGCATATAGAACTGGGGTATAGGCCAGAGGAGTGGGGGTGAAAGGATTCATCAGAAACAGTGGGGAGCAGAACAGGCAGATTGACAAAGTACACTACTGAGGGGAGCAGCGGGCAGGTCAGGAGGGGTCTGCCACGCCATGTAGATCACCTCCCTGGCCGGGAATCGAACTCATGCTTCAGTGGCTGTGATAGCTTCCTGTGCTGTGCTTTAACCTGTTGTGCCACAAAGGATGGCCCAGAAAATTGTATTTTTTAAACTTATATTACCCCACTCCCCACTCTCAGCCCCTGGCAACCACTACCATTCTTTCCTCTGTCTCTATAAAGTTACTTTAAAAAAAAAATTCTACATGTAAGTGATATACTATATTTGTTTTTCTCTGTGTGGCTTATTTCAATAAGAATAATATTTTCATAGTTTGTTTTTTTCAATTTATTCCTTGTTCTATGACCTCTTTTTAGCTATTACAACCTGAAATGTATCTTTTACAGTAATCCACGTGATCATGAGTTCTATGAGTTGTTCTAGGCAATGCTTAAGCCTGAAGGAGGAGACAGGTTGTGGGAATCCCTCACTTTATAGCTAACTCCATCAGAAGTACCAGTAAATTGGAGATCCAGTACTTGTGTTTGGAAGTGAGGACTGTTTTGTGGAACTGTGACTTTAACCTGTGGGGTCTGAAACTAACTCCAGGTATTTTCTCCTGCATTGAACTGTTGGGCATCCGATTGCTGTCAGAATTGGAAGGGAAAAGCAAACACCTCTCAATTATATAGCCAACTTAAGGAAAACTGGGACCTGAACTCAGTTCTTCTAAGTTTATTACCTCTACACAGTACTTAAATATGAGAAGACCATTGCCCCCCCCCCCAACCCTCCCTCTCTCTTAGACAAAAAAGTACAGGAGGGAGTGTGCGTGATGAGAGGCAGGATGAAATAAAATCTCTTGTCTGATTCTGTAATGCAACACTTACCTAATACTACATTTTTATTCTGTCTGTGTCAGGGATTGCAAATTTTTCTCCTCTACACTGTCAGAACAAAAATCTTCCTGAATGAAGCTTCCAGAGTGCTGAAGTTGATGTCATCATCTGCTCAGAGAATGAAGCCATCAATGGCCACATTGAGTCTGAATCTAAGGATGTATAACTTGCTCAGGTCATTTCCATCCCTATATGAACGCTTCACGCTGCTAGAACCATCTATAATTACTGAGGAAACAACAGTCTCTGAAAGTTTCCGGGAAAATTAATCCATCTAGACTGCACAACTCTTATTGTTTAAGGTCCTTTATATTCAACTCATGTGAGTTTTGCTTTTTTTTTTTTAAATTTCCTTCATCCTTTGTTACCCAATCCTGCTGGAAAATCTCCCTTAATATATTTTCCTCAAGGTAAAATCTGATGTTTATTTCATTAGGGATAAATGGATTTGGTAGTTTTTCTATTATTTATAAGAGTTTATTCAAAGAGGGAGTAGAATCCCACCCAGCATTTAAGATAATTCAAGATTATCATTGCTACTTGTAGCATAAGGTCTATATGACACCCTTTGACAAAAATGTCGATCCTGAAATTATTTACAATTTACTAAAAAGGACAAGGAAGAAAGCTGCACCTTCAGAACAAAAGGACTGATGAACTACAGGGGTTGCTTGTACCATCATACTTTTGATCTATGGAGATTTTATATTTTTTTATATTTGTATTTTTATTTCTACTCAAGAATTTGGCATTAATTTAGCTCTGGGAAGGGATACATTTTTGTTTTGAAAGTATATTTTGTCACTAGAGAAATTGACCTTATAAGAATGGGTAGTGTGAAATAGATTAGTCGCTTACTAAAACCTCTGGCTATTTTCTCACAATTTTTGATATATCTGATGAAATGACACTGAGATTCAAAAAATAAAGTTTGTCAAAATCACCCATACCTTTTGAAAGCTCTTACTACTCATGAAATTTCAAAGACTTGACTTATTAACGGCTTACTAAATTAAAAAAATGACCTTCTCTTGGATGAAATTTTAGGAGATTTAGTCTTGGAATTGCTGTGTTCTGTTTTGTCATAAACTAGGCAGCTGCTGTGAATGCACTGAACTATGAACTAAAAACTGTCATGTGAACTGTAGTTTATCCTTCTCACCACACCCTAAAAGAATATGTGGTTTTCATAGAACATGTGTTCTGTAAGTGACCATTGGATTCTTAGGCAAGCCAAGAGCCTATTTCAATACAGTAAATACTTTACAGGATAATACAAGAGTAAAGGGAAGAGGATAAAGAAGAAAAACAGTCCTTAGTGGGTAGTTTTTATGATTTTATAGTCTTGTCCCTAAAAAGGAGCTGGCCACAGGGAAAATGATAAGATGTTGTCCCCAAATTTATATTGTGATGAAAGTATACCTTAAGGCTATTTAAAGCATGAAAAAAGAGAAAAATCACCGAAGAGCCACATTTAGTTTGAGGGTGGGGTAAATGTGTTTTCTTGGCAATTTCAGTTTTGTTTGAGCTTTTTTCCTCAGTGCTTTTGGGGTATAGCAATTAGAATTTCACATTATATCCCTAGAAAGACTGCACTTTAACCAGGCAAGTGCCATATGGGCATTGAAGAAGCTTCATCAGGCAGATACTGAGGTTCTCCTTCTCCTGAAATCCTACCACTGGGTAATAATTCTATAGAAGGTTTTATCTCATGCATTGGTCAGAAATCATCTTGTTTTTCTATAGAGATTCAACTCAAATTAGGGTGTGAAAGAGAATTAATGGCTTAATTAACTGTAAAATTCATAACCTACTATATCAGGTTTTTCTGTGTTTCTGTATGCTTTATTTTTAACATATAAGAATTTTACTAACTGTAATTATAATAAATGAAATATTATTGACTTGCACTTAAAATACCTAGTTATGCAGGCCTTTTAATAATTTCATTAGTATAATTTATTACAATGTTCTATCATTGGTTACCTAGATCATTTCAATTTTTAATATTGTGGTGACACATAATGAATAAACTGGTGTGTGTACGTATGTACATATGTGTGTGTGTGTATATATATTTATATATATATATGCATGTTTCCTTTCCTTTCCTTTTATTTACATAAGATTAACTTTCAGGGTTGGGATAAATAAGCCAAAACATGTGTTCAAGAACCTTATATATACTAGTATATTTCCTTGAAAACATAATTTATAATGTCACCAACATCTAAATGTACAATAACCAACATTTAGAGTTTATGTATATGCATTGTCTACTTGTCAGTTACACTACAATTATTTTTTTCCTAACATATTTGTATGAATTCCTTATTTATTACTTAGTAGCCACTTATAACTATTACTTTTGGTAAACATATTTTCCTCCCTTTATTGTCTTTTTCTCTTTTAATGCAATGAAATATTTAATCTACACTTGACTCAAAATATGAAAAATTTATAGAGCATTTACTATTTTTTGAGTGTATATATCCTCATATAGGCAAATTTTCTCATTTTGTAAGGAAAATGTTAAGAGCTATATAGACACTTTAAGTAAAGCTCAGGTGCACAGATGCCAACAGAAGCCACATGAATTATGTATGACAGACACATGATACCTCTAATTCTTCATTATCTCATAGAGTAATTAATTGAGTGAGGTTCCATAACAGTTATGTTTGCTTTCCAAATTTTGTTTCTCGTTGTTTCCATCCACATTTCCTTAAAAAATAAAACAGATTCTTGGAGAATAGAAGCATTTTATTAGCAATTACTTATTAATTCACACAACTGAAAAAGTCAGGATAGTGTTATATAAGCATCATCTATATTACCTTATTTACACATAATCTTATACAATGTGCATTTGAAAAAATATATAGGTTGCTGAAAAACTGCACATGGGTGAAGTGGTGGTGGATAGTCCACAGAGATTACAACTGAGATGAAAAAGTGTACAAAATAAAGAATGATGAAAAAAAAAGAAAGAAAAAAAACCAATTAAGTAAGAAAATCAGCAGGAAGGGAAAATAATCACAGAAGCAAAAATTATAAAGCCAGGAATAAGATTAGTTCCCAAGAAACACGTCATATGGTCTTGTTTTGCAAGGAATAGCTTTATGACATTCAATATAAATAGGGATACATGATCATATAAATCACACATCTCAACAATTTTAAACAAAAATTAATTGGGGATAAAAGATATTCTAATACTTGAAATTTACATTAGCAAATTTTCTTGAAAACATCCAACTAGGCATTTTATCAAATGAATGGACAAACTATTCTGAATGAAGAAAAAGGCTATCACATTTGGAATCAAGTTTGGAATTGCAGCATGTTTATATTCATGCCTGTGAGTTTGCTGAGAGCACACATTAAACAGCCATGTGTCATGTTCAGTGAAACTCCAAAGTTGGACAGTACCTCACACGCATGGGCAGTACCCCACAGGAACCTACAGTATCACAAGACAGTTACCAAAATCTGGTTTTTGTTTTCTTTTAATATATTGAAGTGGCTTTTCTTAATTTTGGCTATTGGAGTTAGTTTCCTGTTTTGTTTGCTTTGGTAGGTGGCTTACTTTATCTTTAAAAATTTAAAATCAATTTACCTGCACAAAATTATCCATTTTAAGTATAGATGATAATGCTTATCTGTGAAATCGCCCTTAAGAAAACATTTTTTTCCTTACTAAAAACTTTTAGTGGTTCTCAAAATTCTGTGACATATTTTTGACCAAGTTGTTTTCATTAAAATGTACTGATTTTAAAACTAGTGACCTAAAATTGTCCCCCCCCCGCCTCCACATACATAGTCCCCCAAACATTCTTTTTTCCTAGTGAATTTTTTACAACACATTGTTTTCACTAACTAGTTTTTTCCTATTAAACTTAAATGGCCAATTGAGACATTCTTAACACCCATATTACCCTTGTGCACCTACCTGCTAAATCTCCCAACCCTGGAAATGCAATAATCTGCTTTCTGTGGTAACATAATAGTTTTGCCTGTTCTAGAATGTTCTCTAGAATGAATCTGCTTTTTGCTCAGCATTCTGTTTCTGACACCCATGTTGTGTTTACCAAATGATTTGCTTTTATTTATTTATTTTTTTTAGATTTATTATATTTATTCATACAGAACTGGGGTTAGGCCAGAGATGCGGAAGGTGACAGGATTCACCAGAGACAGAGTGGGAAGCAGAGCAGGCAGATCCACGAAGTACACTGCTGAGGGGAGCAGCGGGCGGGTCAGGAGA